GAAGCTGCTTTGATAGATAAAAATATGATTAGAAAGCTGTTTTATTTTTATGAACCGTCAAACTGTAGACGACCACTAATTCGAACATTTACTCTGAAAAATTCAAATACCTACAGATATTAATTGCCTTTTTTATAATTTCTTCAGCTTTCATCAATTTGCATGTTTATATTTATCTTTTTCCTTTATATTTGTTATTTTTTGTGAAAAATGTGTTTGACCTTCATTGTGATCTACAAGAAGAGTCCTGGAAAAAATCTCTGATCACAGATTTCGATAAAAAATTCTTGTTGAGATATTCAGAGAAAAATGAGTTTCAAATGCCATGCTAGGACATACCAGAAAATTTTTTTACCCCCTAATCGAACATAAAATTCAGCATTGTATTGATTGTCAGCATAAAAAATAAAGTGTTCCATTTAATGTCCAAGTTGATGTTGGTTTGACCTTGAAATTTAAAGTCAAGGTCAACCCCAAGGTCAACAGTATATTGGTTTCTAGATATCTTACAATCTGCATCGCAAACCTTCTTTGATAGAACTCTGTCTTGAAAAGTTATCGGAGGTTCAGTTCTTTTTAGGACACTAAAATAAATGCCCACTAAATGCTTGAAGGTAGTCACAACTAAACGATCTCAGTCAGCGCCAAAAATTAAATGAAAACGTACGAACTTGACCCTACCTGCGGCAGCGGATTGTTCGATATCACATATCTTCCAATTTAATTAACATGTCGATCGATCATATCAAAAAATGTGTACATGTTAGTATATATTAATCATAAAGAAGTAACTCTATGGCACTACTCAAGTCCTGCCATGGCGATTTACGTTTCGGATAGAAGAAAAAGGCGATTATATTGTAAATGGCGAGGATCTGTAAGACTAGAATAGCACAATCGAGCGCTATATGAATCCGCTGCTGCTATGACGCGTATATCTTTGGCAGTTTATAAGGAAGATTGGAGATTTTCTGGTAGGTCTTCCCCAGAAGCACGTACAGGTAAATTCCTAGAGTCATAAGGACTTTCTTAGTCGGTTTTATGTAATATCTAAGGCCAAGTCTCTTGCGAAGCGCGTATAACTCGGCATTACGAAGTTGGTTGTAATAGTGCGAGCGAAGACGATCTTCGACAAGAGCTTTTTCATTGTTCTCTGTCGCTCCGAAACCTATTCTCACCAAGCTCTCTCCTATGTTTACTAACTGTGGCTTCTTCTTCTTCTAGAAGTTAAACAAAAATTTGCATATAAACGATATTTCAAGTATCAACAACAAAGTTATGTTTAACTGTAGATGCGACACCAATTTTCTCAAAATTTGTCTTCTTCACTTAATTTGTACAATTTAGAAAACTTACTTGGGATAGGTATGTATTTTTTAAAGCACTGTGTTTAGTTTGTGAATCTTAGTCAAAACATGCCCGATTTTAGGACAGAAATTAAGAAAATAAACTTATGATATGTATTTCTAAAGGTCATGACTCTCGTTCAAAACTACACCCTGTATATCATATATCTATGTCTGTATCAGAGAATAAAAAAAAATAAAACAAAATATATGGTTTATTCAAAAAAATATAATCATATAAAGTGTAACAGTCTAATCATCTCTATAAGTTGTTTGATATATTCACATTCGAGGATTATTTGAACATAAAAGAGGGAATACTACTTCAATCGCTCAAATTTAAAAGTGCTGTGAGTATATAATAAAATGTGTTTCGCGTTTTTTAAATACATTTTTCTTTTCATCTCTTTACAAACAGATCTTATTCAAGTTTAAATGTAATCACTTTTATATCTTGACAATCTTAAATACTATATCACTAGCTTTTATAAAATAATTTATTATACTTTGAATTTTTTATTACAAAAAATAATACGTATATGTCTATTTTCTATTAGGCCCAATTTTATCACGAATAAAATTTAATTAGAAATACCAATTAAATTTGAAATATAAATATATAAATTTTCTTTGCCATTGTTTTTTTTTTTCATATTTTTTGAAAAATGTTACTAATAATCATGTTCAAATAAAATAACGGGACTTAGTCATTGTAAATGAGCATCTCCACAGCACTGGTAAAATCCTGCCAAACAGACTCTCGCTTAGGGTAAAAAAAGAATGAAATAATCTTGTACACAGCAAGAATTTGTGCGAGAAATATGCAACATTCAATAACTAAGTTTATCTGTGATTGCTATGCAGTATATATCGTTGGAAGCTTTGGAATAATCCTTACAGTTTGTTCAATTGTATGAAGGAACGTTGAATACAGATAATTAAGCAAGGAATACAAAGCTTTCTCTATCGGTAATGTGTAGTACTTAAAACCCAGTTTTCTCTTATTCGCATAAAGTTCTGCACTTTGAAGTCGACTATAATACGATAAGAACTTGCGATTCTCTACAAGAGGTTTCTCGATAGTTGCAGGAAAACCGAAACCGACTTTTACCAACTTTTCTCCAACATTAACGAGGCGTGGTTGCTTCTAAAATTAAAAATTACAATAAGACACTATGAAAAACTTCACGCGAACAAATTCAAGACAGATAATTTAATTTGTGACAGTTAATTTGTGCACTCGTAAAATTTAGTACACTCAAAAACATGAGATATTAAAATACATGCATATTTGAGAAAACTGGTGTCAGAATTGCAGAACCAAGTGCTCGTTGTGCCAAAATATTTTTACTTCCATGCATATTTTAAAAATACTCTTACCGTGCACAGAAGAAATCAATGCCAAGGTTAAATGTTTTTATAGAAACTTCTTCAAACGTAACTTACATCTTTAGAAGGTTGCACAAGCAGAACTTCACATTCTACCAAGTTTCGTCCTTTCAAAATAGGTACAAATTTTACTTCGCTGCCAACAACTACAGTCTGTAACCAGCTTATTCCCAGTCCGGTGACATTGACCCCTGTTATTTTGACAGGTAACTGACCAGAAGGTATCAAAGGGATATTAACCAAGGGCTTATGCTGTACCATCAATAAAGCGCCGTCAGGTTCAATTCGCTTCACCAAGCCCGTTAACTCACGCCTTTCTTTAACGAAATGATTAGGGATGTCAGAAGGCGCTTTAAATTTACTAAACTGCAATCATTATTATGAAAAATTTCATATTTTAAATTAATTAGTACTTACCGGTCTCACTTTTCGCATAGCAACTGTTAGCCCAACTAGAGCTACAGAGTAACAGCCAAGCTGAAAGCAAATAATTCATATTTACATGTTATAGAACATAAACATGCTCTATGCCCACCTGTACTCCTCGTATATTTTGATCCATTATGTTTGTAAAACCGTTAAATACATTCGAAACTTGATCCATTTTATTGACTACTTTTATGCCTGATTAATCCTGGACAGAGCATCTAATAAATTGTTTTGTATAGCTAAAAATATCCAGCTAATAATAATGTTAGCAGCTAAGATCACCTTCACTTTATTTTTTGATGTTATGTCATAGTCATATTTTGATGCTGTCAGATGAAAACATTGGAGCGTTTTTTGGCGAGAAAACCGATTGTGCGGTTTGGCGTTTTCGCGAGAAATGAAGTTACCTCGGTTTGCCAAACCAGCAAACCGTATTTGTATGGTAAATTTGAATTGGGTTAATATCCCTATCATTAGTCTAATTATTTTATGTCTCATATCGATGTGAGATGGATGTATATTAATGATTTAAATAAGTGCAGCTGTACATTTCACAATAAATATTTAATATAAAGATGAACTTGAGGTGTACTTTGTGATTATTGAAGTTATAGACAGACCCTAAAGTCAAGTGGCTGACGCGAACTATTAATAAAAGAAACGTCAAGCCCAATGATATTGTGATATGTATTATAAACATCCTGGCGTCAAGCCAACCATGTGGTTTCTTAGGTCGCCAAAAATCGCTTATATTGCATTGATAAAATACGTATTTCGTGGATCATTTTTCATATTTTTTAAAAGCTCGAATAGTTAAAATACATAATTAAAACATAAATAATTAATACGTATAAGAACCGAAGTTAGTTAGGTTACCTTATTTTCGAATGAGCTTACCAATGTTTTACTAAATAAAAGTATAAGTTTGTATATCTCCATGTTTTTATCATGTTTGTATCTATTGCAACCAGTAGATAAAAATAGAACATACCCAGCGCGCTGGTGAGATTCGAAATAGCCTATAGTTTTATAGCTACGATATCGTAGCGTAGAAAGCAATTATAAGGCCATTTCGAATATACAGCATACCAGTTTTATCATTCTATCTTTGTTGAAAGTTGAAACGTAGGTTAAATTTCCGTAGACCATAGGTAAACCAAATTAATTGAGCCCTGAGGCACAGCCAATATATATAAGCTGTGCCTGAGGTATGAGGATAAGATGATTAGGATGCGCAGTGGAATTTGTAGTAGAGTGGGGAACGTCCATTTACTCATATTACCCCTATTACTATCATTATATAGACTTTTGATAAGGCCATTCGAATGAGAATGAACCCATATGAGATTTAGTCATATGAATGAACTTATGTGAATATAATAATATACCTACTGATAGGTACTAATTTAGAGCAGGGCTAATTCAAACAAAATAAAATAAATTTATTGTAGCTGTGAAGCTGAAGAGAAATCTATGACTGTCTGTTGTACATAGTATATACCATTTTTTATTTATGCTTCATAAAAAATAAGTTTAATATTTATATACAACAGTGTCGGGTATATAAAAAAAGATAAATAAACATACCTTGAAATGTTCTTTAAGGTATTGATTAAACAAATCAAATGTAAATTAAATATACTTATGTAAATATAGACGTTAAAAATAAACTATAACCTTGAAAGCTAGTTTGGTATTATCATGAACGTCTATGAAGTTCAATAAACTCGATAAAGCCATAGGTATATAGGTACATAATGTAATATATTTTCCCTCGTAAATGTGTATACTAAGTATTTATGTTTATATTAATATGAATCACTTTTTTCCCGTGAAGAAGGCGTAGTATTTCATGACTGTGTTAACTTGGATTTCCCGATTTCAAACATACTGAAAAAAGAACAATTATTGACCCCTCCGAATGCTACTACGTACGACGCCACTGCGTCCTGACATTCTGACATTCAATCGGTAGGGTCGTCGCCGCCATTGTGAATTATTATAAATATTGTATATTTAGTGTATAAAAAAAGTAAGTACGGCTGTTTTCCGTTGATGATTAATTATTTACAGTCTGTAGAGTAAATCGGCAAATCAGTAACATTGGAGACGACTGTTTTTTTTTTTTGTAAAAGTGTGTCGAAAGCTGCAATTGTTGATTCGCCTGGATTTTGACAATTCACTATCCATTCGTAATATTTGTTTTTGGCTTATTACAAATGTGCTGCACAATATTTTTGCTGTAACTGAGTTAATTTGTTAGGTAGAAATGAATGCAGATCCGCGTAGGCCTGAAAAAGTGCAACGATACGTTCCCAAAACAAATAATGGTAATGGTCAAGAGGACCTTACCCCTGATTACATGAATATCTTGGGTGAGTACTGAGGCTATTAATCTATTTTTAGCTTATTCCTCTGTTAGGCCGGTTATTTTAAACAATAAATCGTTGTGCCTTATTTCCAAACATCAGTACAATGGCTTTATGTCTTCATTTTGAACATTTTAACAACTTGGGTAGAAGTTGAGTAACTCTAGTAGTTTGATGTGGCCTATTTCAAAATATAAAACCATGAATCTATTGTCTTCACTAGAAATGTACATGTAAATACTTAATGCATTTATTTAGGTCAAATTTGTCTATAAATATATTCTCATTGATATGCAATCAGATTTAGGTTATTCAATTAAAGAAATCATTTTCATTGCCCCAAGCATTAGAACGTTCAAAGGAAGTTTATTATATGTTTATTAGCACATAATTTTTTTGTTTTAACTCGTGTTTTAATAATTGGTTAATGTGCAGATAGAAGTAATTGTCAAAGAAATGTATGCATCATTTGAAATGACATTGAGGATAATGTCAAGTATTGGAATTGTGATGCTTCAGTGGTTTTTCGTATTTTGAACAAATAAGTGAATATATTCATAGTATAGCAAGAGGTGTCATAAGTTATAACAGTACCATAATTACGTAATTTAATACCTCTCCAAAAGATATAACATCATTTGTTTCAAAAATGTATAAGGGTCGTACGAATCTGATAACGTAAAATACTGTAAAAGTTACATGTGAATTCTACTGAAAAATAATAACACCCAAAACAATGTAAGAAATTTCGATATTATTATTAGTGCAATAAAGTGTATATTTAATAAAAATGTAATGAAAGTAATCAAGTTTATAACATAAATAGATATTAATATGAATGTAACAAATTTATGATCATAATTATTTCTGTAATATATCTTACATTGACCGTCATTGTTAAAATCAAAATATATTAAATATTTTTATACATTCGTTAGTTTCAAGAAATTGTGACATTCATAGAACTGCTCTGAAATCTAGTTTTTTTTTTATTAGTCATGGTTTATGAAATCAAATATGAAATAAAGTTATAAGTATGTGGGATGAGACAAAAAGTTAGGGAAATCGAAGTGAAAGTTCTATTTCGATTAAAGACTGTTTTGACGCCTTTTGTACTACATTTAGGCAATTTTAATTTTTATTCTAAAAACAACTTGAATGTTTTAGATAATTTCTGGGTACATTATCAAATATTATCCCTTACTTTTTCAGCGTCCTGTATACCAAATAAAATAAGTTTTTATAATCAAACTGCTGCTTCTATTATTAATATAAAGTCTTTATTTAATCTCAATGTTGTAAATATATTTGCGATACTGATAGAGAGCAGCCGTATTGAGTGTGAATGGGTAGCACAGTAGTGTAGTGAGAAATTATACTGAAATTTTCCGTAGGTCAGCACCAGACCACGGCAAATGTAGCTGAGGCCGCAGACAAGCACGCAGAATCGTCTGTGAGCATAGAGCCGAACCTTCAAGCATCCTGTCCTCTTGAAGAAGCTCAGCCTGTGACTGACGAGCTTGCCGCGACAACCAACGCTACCAATGCTACCAATGTGATACCCACGAGCCCTCAGTACGGCATCGCCATTATGTCTAACCCACCCGTCATGCCTACTACAAACGACATCCCCACGGAAACCCTCACACCATCCACAGAGACCATAACGGACACCACGGCCAAGCCGTCTGATGAAAGTAAGGAGCTCCACTCGACGCCAAGTCGTAACGACAGGTTTAAGGTCGTAAAAATTGCTAGTCTGGAGCCTTTCAAGAGGGGCCGTTGGAAATGCATGGACTATGTTGACGAGGCACCACCAGCAGGCACGGTGCGGATGCCGCAGTCGACGGGCAGCATACAGATGGCGGGAGGCCAATACTTGCAGACTCAGAGCCTCCCCCAGCAACAAATCCAGCAGATGCTGCTGCAGAGCGGGTTCGCCAACGGCACCCAGTTTTTTCAGAACATGCAGCCGCAGATGATACCGCAAGGACAGTATTTTTACCCGCAGGTGGCGAATATGCCCAACCAGACGTTACCCCAACAAGTGTCAAGCAGCATGCCCGCCCAGTTCATTGGCAATCAACCGTACTTCCAGGCCGGTGTGGTTCAAAACGCAGCGGGATTCACCATGCAGCAAGCTTACCCGAACGTTCAGTACATACCGGCTAACTTAATCCAGAACCAGAACAGTGCATTCGTTCCCACATCACAAACGCTTCAAATGCCCGCCAATTTCCAACAGAGTCAAACGTACGCGGGACAACCGAACGTGTCCCAGTCCAACATTGCCCAGCCTCTCGTCAACGGTCACAATTTCACCCCCCAGACTGAGCAGCAGGTGACCGGCAGCCTGCCTACGCAAAGTGCGAAAAGTGTCATACTGAACACTAACGTTCCGCAGCCGGTCGTAAGTCAGACGCAGTTAACGCAACAAAACATCCAGAATCACATACCCGTACAGGGCAACCAGTCGCTCTCCGTCATGCAGGCACAGCAATTCCAACAGGCCTACCAGCAGCCCGTAGCGGCGCAACTGCCCCAGTCGCAGAATTCCAACCAAGTGGCACAGAACGTTCAGACCCAGCCGGGGCCCCAGGTGGTTCAGGTGCAGTCGCAACCCTTCGACCAAAGCCTGCCTAGCAATATATACACCAACCCGCAGTTCCCCATGAACGTGAACAGCCTGACGGTACTGGATAACAACGAGAACTCTGGCGAGGTGAACGAGACCAACAGCGGGGTGGACACGATGAGCGAGAGCGCCGACGACTTGGCCAAGACCAATCCGGTGGTGAACGCCATTGATAATAAGATCGAGCAGGCCATGGACCTCGTCAAGAGCCATCTCATGTATACGGTCCGGGAGGAGGTGGAGGTGTTGAAGGAGAAAATCGCTGAGTTGATGGAGAGGATACAGCAGCTCGAGACGGAGAACAACTACCTCCGTTCTCAGATCCCGAAGAGCCAGAGCGTCGCTCCTCCGGCTACGTCGAACAGTATGAACAATCCCACCACGCAAACTAGTGCGATACCGACCAACCCTAGTCCCAATTATATTCCTAGTTCTAACGCCAACACCGTCTCCACACCCCAATCTAGTACGCCCGTCACTAACCCTAGTCACAATCCCATTCCCAATACTCAAGGCCACTCCATGCCTCCCGGAGAAGCCATAAATCCCCCCCAGCAGCAGTAAATCCTTAGCTTCGTTCGGCCAGTTGTGTTGATTAATAATACTCTGCGGACTTTCGGATCTTTCGTCGTTTCTTTCTGTTCCTCTTCCTTGGTAGATTTTGTTCTAGTTTAGCCGTTTCTGGATTAATGTTTTTGAGGGTTGTTAAAGGCATCGGCGGCTCCAAATTCTTGATTCGTATAATCGCAGACGTCGGTTAAATTGTTCGTAAGACGGCGCAAAGTTTTTGTAGTTCGTATAGCGGCAAAGGAAGTTTGAAATGAATTTCCCAGCAAGAACTATTTATTTTTTGTTTGTCTGACCTGTCTTTCTCTTTCATTAATAATTTTCGTTTTCTGAAAATATAGCGTAAAAAATTTTAAAAAGTAATATACAGGGTGTCCCGCTTTATAGGTGTCTAGCAAAAAACAAATGAAGCTTAAATATCTTTTTATTAAATTGACTTCAAAATTTCAAATCTTAAACTTGCTACAGTTTCTTTGTGTTATGTTTGAAAAATCACTTCAGGAATTTTTTTAAAACGCAATCTAATAGCAAGAAGTTAATGTCGCTTTTGCTTGGGCTATTGTATTTGGTTTTGTTCAAAATTAATTATGTAAAAAAGCCTATCAGGGTTTATACCTGAAAAACTGAGAAAATCAGATCCGGAAATGTCAAGGAAATATCAGGATTTTCTGAAATTTCCATGGATTTTTGTGATTGTGATTGTTCTTCATTTATCAGGTACTACCACTAGATGTCTCTAAATTATTCTGTTCTAAATTACACAAACCAAACATTACTTGCTGATACAACTTCTCAAAATAAGAAAAAAGTTGGGAAATGCTTAGTTTCCGCGATAGTTTCAAAACAAGTTGTATTTCCTGAAATTGATTTTTAGAAGATATCCAAAACGTTTAAAAATAAACACTTTATTAGACGAAATGGAGAGCCTAAATAAAATTTTGCCTAATGTTTCTTGATGTGACAATTTTTGACTTATTTAAAGCTCGCACTTGAAAAAATGTTTATATAAAAATTCTCTTGCACTTTTTTTTTAATTTAAAATACCCATTTTTGAGTATATCCTGATTTTCTTTTCTAAATAAACTAAAAAATGATGCTAAACATGGAAAAGGTTTACCCATTTTTTTCTAAAACTAAATGGTTTTAGTTCATAGTAGCCATTTTTCTTATGAAGAATTAAAAGTTTAATATCTGTATTAGGGTGGCCCAAAAAAAAAACTAATATTTTTTCTTTCGTGTCTCTTGTGAAAATATGTTAGTTTAACATGTTTTAAGAGCCCTCTCAAAAAATCGGCTCAAAAAAACCTTTTTAGAGGTCGCTCAAGATTTTAAAAAATTTCCAAATTCGTCAAAAATTGAATTTTTTTAAAATTTTTTTTCGTTATTTTATCATTTTCTAAGTTGGAAAAAAATCTCGATTCTGAAAGTTTCAAATCGATATTTTAATTTCTAAAGGCCACTCATAATTATTTTAACTTTAAAAGTAATGTACCTGATTTCAAGCGACCTCTAAAAATAAATATCAACGGACAAATATTTTTTTTTTATTGAATATAATGAACAAAAGAATAGAAATAAATCACGACACTTAAATTTTAAAAAATTTAAAAATTATAAATATGAAACTCGCAGTGCGGTAGTAAATTTTGCCTCGAGAAATTTTTTAATGGTCTTGTGATTTATTTCTATTCTTTTGTTCATCAAATTCAATAAAAAAAATTAGTTTGTTGATATTTATTTTTAGAGGTCGCTTGAAAACATTTTAGGTACACTACTTTTAAAGTAAAAATAATTATGAGTGATCTTTAGAAATTAAAATATCGATTTGAAATTTTCATAATTGAGATTTTTTTAACCTAGAAAATGATAAAATAAAGAGAAAAAAAATTTAAAAACTCAACTTTTGACGATTTTTGAAATTTTTAAAAATCTTGAACGATCTAAAAAAAAATTTTTTTAGAGCTGATTTTTTGAGGGGGCTCTTAAAACATGATAAACTAACATATTTTCATAAGAAACCCGAAAAAAAAATCGGTTTTTCTGGGCAACCCTAATCTGTATAAATTATAATTTGTTTGGTTTTAGGTGCTCCGAATTTATTAAAAAAATTTTTTTCAAAAGTTTCAGTTTGAACACCCCGTGTCTTGGAAACTAAACGTTTTTTGACCCATATGCTCTTAGGATTGAGTAAAAATTTGCAAAAAAACATTTTTGGCTGATTAAAATCCCATTTTCTCCTAAACTAAAAATCCCCCAATATATCTAGGATCAAATCTCATTTCATATTCAGACAAGCAAAAATTGTTTGAATGAATGACTTTTTTTTAAATCAAAACTCTTATTTGGGGAAAAATATAAACTGTACGTCAACCACTGTATAATTTTCAAAACTATCATATTTTATTAAAGATCATTGTGACAGACCAAAAATTAGGAAAATGGTGGTGAAAAATGGAAACCAATGTAGAGCCTACATGTTTACCTGCCAATTTTTTTAAATCTTCGTGTACAAGCTTGAAATCATAATTTTTTGATAAAAATTTGTTGAATATGACGAAAATTGCATTTTTTCAATAATAATTAAAAAAAATAAATGAAAAATAGAGATAAAATTTAAATTAATAGGAGTGTACCAGAAACAATGTTAAATTTGCTTAAAAAGTTTAAAAATTATGTTCTTTATAGAAATAGGCAAGGGACTATTTTGAGAATTAATGTCACTTTTCAGAAAAAAAATATTGTTAATACAATTTTTCAGATTGGCTCCAAAAAATATAGTATCAGGCATAGGATTTGCCACCGTGAGGAAGTTTTAACTTAGTAGGCTATGCGTATTCTAATAAAAAATATTTGATCTTCATTTGTTTTTACGTACTGCACTTCAGAGTGGGCGAAATATGACATTCTTGGAGGGGAGGGGGGGTTTCTCCTATATTTCAGAAAAGAGAAAACAAGTAGTTTAGACGTCTGGTTTTGATTTTTGAGAAAAGTTGAATGGCGAAAACTACATCTCGATATTTTGATTCTTGTAAGAGATACAGGGCGTTTTCCCAATTTGGCCATTTTCTTAAAGTCTTACAACTCTTATTTGTGAAGATAATTTATTTTTATAAATAGGATTTTTAAACTGTTTTCTTTGTGTAGAATCCAGTATGCGATATTTTTCTATGATCTCCAGTTTTTCGGTTATAACAAGAATTTAAATATTTTTTAAAAATGGAACAATTTTTTGATTTTTGAAATCTGCGAAAAATTTTTGATGTATTACACATTTTTACACAAATAATTTCCTCCAATACATCAAGTAATAATTGATTACAAAAAAAAATTGGTTTTTATATATGGAAAAAAAGTGGAAATATCAAGTGACCCATACCATTTGAAAGGAAATTTTTCATAGATTTCAAATATAGAAAAATATATAGGTTCTGTTTAAAAAACATATATATTTATGCTGTAACTTAAAAATTTAAAGTTATAGAAAAATATTGCTTTGGTTCTTGCATTTTATATAGAAAACTGGGCAAAGAACTCTTTGCAAAAATCAAATATTTTCACAAACTAAAAAGTTATAGAACATCATAGAAAATGACCAAAACGTACAAACGCCCTGTATCTTTTGACATTCAACTTTTGTTTTTGAAAAAAAAGAAACAAAGGAATCGAATTTGGCCCACCGTGTACACCTATAAATTGGGACACCGTGTATGCGTCCTTATGCCTTTTGCAACTGCAAAATATTAGTTCAAAGCATTAGTTTTAGCACAATTATGAATATTGGATAGTACCTACTGATTATTTATTTTGTCACGATTTTTTTAACTGTATCTATTTACCTTTAGAAAAATGGAAGATTAAAAATAGCTTTAATTTATATTTATATATTTAAGTACCTTATTCTAAGCTGGTGTACACCAAGAAACAGTCGTCTTTCCAAATTTATATTGTGTTTTGAATGATTGAATACATTTTTACCAACAATTCACAGTATGATATAAAATTTTCATAAACGTGCTATAAATGTTTTAATCTTTCATTTGCGCAGTTCGATGTTGTTGCAGTTATTGTGTAAAGGGAAAAAATGGGGGATTCTGATTGGCCGATTAAAGGAATCTGTATATTGTGTAAAATTTTGTAAAGTATGTATTATATGAAAGGAAATTAAGCCAAATTTTTAATTTGGTGCTATTTGAAACTGTGATTTTATTACACCATTTCTTATTTTTCTTTTATTTTGTTACTTTTAAAATAAATTGCTATTATAATATTACTATTTTTATAATAATCCCGTGTAAAAAAATATTATCTGTCTAGTAATAATGATAATAGTCAAGTATAAACAATGTGTCTAGCTATTAGAGGAATATAGAAATGTATACTCAAGAAAATATTTACTTACTATTATTTTTTTGCTTTATTTAGCAGTGTATCAAGATTATTTAGTAGGATCTAGTGGTTTTTGCCTTTTGTTTTTAGTTAACCATAAAAAATTTTTGCTTGGGTACGTAATCTTTTGAATAGATAAAAAAATTATACATTTTTTTGTTGGTAACGTAAGCTGCTCAAAATGCATTTATTATTTCCTAAAGAGGTTACGTGTTCCGAACGAAAATCTTTGAGTTGCGTCTAAATGTGCGATTGTTCTAGCGGAAAGGACATGCCGATAAGTCTGTGGATGACTGTGTGCATAAACTGTAATCAATGTCTTAGAGAATTTTTTTAGCGAATATGTAAAATTCATGGGGAATGTAGACAATTATGGCTGTGTTATTGATAATGAAATTATTTCTGCGTAGGGAAATATGTTGTTTAAATTTACTGGACTGCACCTACTGCTCCTGACTGTATTGTAAATCGTAATTTTTACATATTTTTATGTAAAATAATTTTTCTATATGTGTATTTTACAGAACTCGGAAGATATTCTTTTCCAAACGATTGCTTTGTTATAAAAATTTTATTTCTATCCCACTTCTGATTCGGCGCCCATTGTGGGGCATGAAATATCGCGCATCAGGAAGGAGATATTTATTAATTTCATTTCTTTCATTAAAATTTTTATAGCAGAGCTTAAAAAATAAATATATGTTGGGGTAACGCCTATCAAAAATGTAAGTTCGAACGATGTATTTTTTATTGATTTCGAAAATATTCACGTAGTGAAGTTTCCTTTTCTTTGAAGACTGTATTTTGCCAAAAAGAAAAAGGATGTAAAATGTCATGAGTGTCATAACTCGATTCTGTTTTATTTAGTTTTAGTTGCTTATAAGTGCTGTTTGTGTGATCTTGATGAACGTCACGAAAAAATGTTGTATAGTTATAATTTATCCAAATATACAT